TCTGTAGCCCTTGTGCTTAACTGAGGCATTGCATTAGCTGGAGCATGATGAATTACTGCTAACTGATTATTTCAACATGAGAAAATGCATAGGGGGTTGTAGGCCCACTGACCCATTGCTGAGAAGCAAATGAAAGAACTTTCCTGGCCTGGATGAGGCAAGTTGGCTTTTATTCAATCCCAGTGGGACCTGTGAAGGAAAAGTACACTCCAGAATAAATCATGATGGATAAGCTTTATTAAGCATTTCCAGGAATTGGCGACTGGATTATAAAGAGGAAGAGAGCATAATCGAAGAAAGATGTAAACTCAAACTTCCCTGAGGCATCTCTGAGGATCCAATGTCTTCATCTGAGGATGTGAAAAAGACTGCACCTGCGTGTGCATGTTCTTTTTGAGATGGAGAATCATCACCCTGCAGAAAACTTGGTGATTCATCGTCATTGGCCCTAGGGCAAGTCCTTTACTTTGGCCCCTGCTGCCAGGTAGCAGTGGAGGACAGTGTGGTGTGGGGACCACAGGGACCTCACGAGGCACTGGCTCCAGGCGTGGCTCTGCTGGCTCTAGCAGTCCTAACCATTTGGGATTGGGGTCTCAACTTTCAGTGAGCAGCTTAGTCCTTTCCAGGCCTGACTGCTCCGATTGAATGAATGCACCTTGAGCATGTGTGATTTTGCATGCTTCAGTAGAAACACTGAACAAGGTACTGGGTTGTTATTTCTGAATTAGCCATGAGGTAATTATAAAGTGACAAGTTGCTATCACTTCGAGATTTCTGTTGCTCATCTGGGCATGTTTTCTCCAAATCTTTTTCGGAACAGAAGTGTTTAACCAGGCTCCATTGTTCGTCATGATGATGAAAAATGAAGTTATTGATCAACGTTCTCTTCATCTCTACTTTCACATATTTTATACACAGGATGAAATTACTCAGGTGATCTTCTTTGAGCAAGGTTTTTTAAAACCCTTTTTACAACACTTGAACACTCAAGGTAACAACTAATCTGAGGGGTAGTATCTCATTGCTTGCCTCCAATGGGATCCAGAAGGTTTGGCAAGTGCAATTGCATGGATATATACAAGCAGCAACAGAAAGGCAGAAATATATGTATTTTGGAAGGCAACGGTCCCAGAGGAAACAGCAAAAACAAAGAGTTCAGCTATGCCTTAGGAAAGTGCTCCCTCCTCTTTGCTGTCATTCAGAAAGAATTTCTCTCCTATACAAAAATAACTGTGTAATAAGATTGGATTTTCTGAAATTAGAAGCTTTCTAGCAATAGCTATTAAAATGTTATTTTACATGTTCCTGTTGCTATTGATTTTAGAAGTGTCATTCCCAGTCACAGATACTAGGAGGGATTTGATAAAAGTGCATCACCGCTGCAAGTGCCAAGGCCGTAGTCACGGGTGCCATAGCTAGAGTCTTAGCTGCAGGCTGGTAAACTGAGACCACAGGAGGAGGCAGAAGCTTCCCAGAGATGAAGTATATTCAGACTTCACAGTTAACCACCTGGCTTGGGAGCCACAGCAAGTTACCATCAAACTAGTGTATAGGTTGCTCAGAAAAACAACAAGAAAGGCAAAGAGACTGAGAGAATCTCTGCATGAAGGGACTTCCACACTCAAACACATAAATTATAGTTGGAGGGCAAATGGGCTAAAGGCCAGCTGAGTCCTAAATATCAGAAAATCGGATAAGAATTGAAGGGAAGCCAAGATTACTGAGGGCTTCATAGGCGTTAATGACTACAAGGTCATTCCATTAACAGGTCCATACAGGAGAGGGAATCTTGAATAAGAATATTTAATGATGAAAATGTGCCCTGTAGATAACCATTCCCCTCTACTCAGGGAAAAAAAATCAAAACTACAATAACATCTCACCCTAGTTAAAATGGCTTTTGTCCAAAAGACAGGCGATAACAGATGCTGGCGAGGATGTGGAGAAAGGGGAGCCGTCGTACACTATTGGTGGGGATGTAAATTAGTGCAGCCACTGTGGAGTACGGCATGGAGCTTCCTCAAAAACCTAACACTAGAACTACCATATGAGCTGGCAATCCCACTCTAAAGAACATGAAATCAGTATGTCAAAGAGATATTTGCATTTCTATGTTCAATGCAGCATTATTCACAATAGCCTAGATATGGAATCAACCTAAGTGTCCACCAATGGATGAATGGATAAGAAACTGTGGTACAATATACACAATTGAGCATTATTCATCCAATAAGAAAATTATGAAATCCTGTCATTTACAATAACATGTATGTAACTGGAGGACATTATGTTAAGTGAAATTAGCTAGGCACAGAAAGACAGATATGGCATATTTTAAGTCATATGTGGAAGCTAAAAAATAAATTGAGCTCATGGAGGTGGAGAGTAGAATGATGGTTACCAGGGGGTGCAAAGGGTAAGTGGAAAGGGGAAGAGGAAGAGGGGATGGCTTATGGGTACAAAAATACATTACACAGAAGGAATAAGATCTAGTAGTTGGTAGCATAATAGGGTAACTATAGTTAACAACAATTTATCATGTATCTTAAAACAGCTAAAAGAGTGGAATTGGAATGTTCCTAACACACACAAAAAAACGATAAATGCTTGAGGTGATGGATACCCCAGTTACCCTGATTTGATCATTACACACTGTATGCCTGAATAAAAATGTCACACGTGCCCCATAAATATGTAAAACTATCATGTATCCGTAATAATTAAAACTTAAAAATTAATTTAAACAAAAGAAGGAATGTGAAAAGTCTGATTTCTGTGGGAAACTCTAGATGTCCCTCCAGATGCATGGCATGAGCACATTTCATCTCCTTTGGTCCACACAAAAGGAATTTCCACTGAGCTTGCCCTGAAAGGACGTGGAGCAGAATGAAGCTTGGGTGTGTGCATTGGGAGATAAAACGGTGATAGGGTCATGTTTCTTGACATGGCCCAGCATCTCCCTCTGTGGGCAGAGCTGGCCCTATTTACCCATGGGCTGGTTTGCCCCACACTAACCCCAGGGCACCGAGGTCACACTATCACCTACGACTCCCTGGATGTGTCACCACAGCCAGTGTAGGGCAGCACCTCTCCAGCTGGCACCAAAAAGCAGACATGAATAAATATATACACTTTTATTCTCTGGCTTGAACATCTTCTCTATGCAACTCGGATTTTTTAAACGGGCCCATTGGACATGATACGTGTGTCAGCACATTTTAGGTTCTAGGGAGGCAACAAAAATTATTGACATGTTCTGTCTTCCTCTCATGGGAAGAATGAAATGTAAACATAGCTCTTAGGGCAAGAGGGAACAAGATACTTGCTCATACTTCAGTAGGACTTTTGGCTTTGGATGAGACTTGGATTGAGGTAAGGGTTTACTACCCCCCTCCACACATACACACAGGTTCTTCTGGTTTAGAAGCCACTGAAGTAACAATATTGTATAAAGGAAGAATTTCTTCTCTTTTCCCCATAGGAAACCTAAAGCCTAAAGGGAAAAAAAAAGACTCATTGCAAGAAGGAAGACTAGAATCTAGATTTCCTGGTTCCCAGTTCTAACCAGTAGCCCCCTAAATGGATTTTCCAGTCCAGGGTACATCCTCAGAGGCAGCATGATTGTTGTTTCCCTAAGGAAGTTGCCCCCTAGGGATGTTAATAGGTGTTAGGAAAAATAAATAAAAAAAAAAGTAAAACAATCAGCTTCCATAGTGAATTAAGTTTAGAACAATCTGGATAAAGCGACGTGGCATACATTTCTCCTCTACAGATTTCTTAGCCCATTTGATATGTGAATGTGAATTGTCAGTCTCTAAGAGTGGAATTATCGGACCCTGAACTCTGTCTACCTACATACCCATTTATCTGCTTGTCATGGAATATCTCCCAGACCAGCATCCACTGTAGAACCTTGAGTCCTTGGTGTGACACGCAAAAGGTGTGCTGGGCACTGCACAGGTGTACCAAGGTGACTGCCCAAGGATGAGTCTAAAGGTAGAGACATTGCTGTCCACTCTTTGACTTCTCAGTAAAGGTCTTAAAGCAGATGGAGACTTCCTCACACATGTCTGCCCCCTACCCCAGGCTTATTGACCTTTTGTGGGTAAAAAGTGAGTTTGAAAGAAACTAGTGAACACATTAAAAACAGAAGCAGTATCCTACTACAGTTGGTCTAATCCATTCCTACCAACATTTTGGAAGAGACACTGATAGTTGACTCAAGCTTTGTAACCACATAACCCCATGTTATGGTTCCAGTCCATACACAGGGGGACAATTGTGGGCACAAAGTCTCCAGAGGGAAATTTTGTAGATCAATAGTCAATGAGATATAGTTTTCCTCTTCAGCAAATTTGATTTACTAGCTTCAGTTTGTAGGTGGGAGCAGGGAAAAAAATTAAAACTTTATTTCACCTCCAAGACTGTTTTGAGCATTTACTTTTTTGCCCAATTGACGGTTTCTACTCTGCTTTTGATTAAAACATCTTTTATTATGTTAACATAATTTCTGAAAATTAAACTATTAGAAGCAAACAAAAGGACAGAGATGTCTTTTCTAGCTCCAGGAATAAAACAAGGAAAGTTCCACAAAGCAAATGGGGGAGATATGATGAAGACAGCAATATGTGAGCTAGCTTTTGAAAAATGAATAGCAGTTCACCAAGAGAAAGGCAGCGGGTGGCATTCCAAGATGAGGGAAGGGACATGCACAAAGACATGAAGCCATGAAACATTCTGAATATTCCAGGAATGGTGAGAACTCTGGCGTAGCTTGAATATAGGTACATGGCATAAAGTGACGGATACACCTAAGGAGTCTCTGGAAACTTTATTATAAAGGACCCTGGATGCCATTCCAATGAGTGTGAACTTTGTCTTGTGGGCCGACAGTGGAAGTTTCTAAGCACGATAGAGTCATGGCTATATATGTACTTTAGAATGGCAACCTTAGGGAAATTGGAGAGAATGCACTGGAATATAAGAAACTGTTGACCAGAATGATTAATTACTCAACTGTCGTAAAAGTCCCCTTGAGGGGAGCTGTAGGCAAGATCAGATTTGAGAGGTATTTTTGAGATTAAATGACATGGTTTAGCAACTAACTGGATGTAGGGCTGAAAAAACGACAGTACCGATTTAGGGTACTGTCATTAACAGTGCTCAGGATTGCAGAAAAGGGGATAGGTTTGGTGGGAGTCGCTCATAGAAGGTGTTCAGCCTACCCAAAACCATGACAATGGGCTCAGGTAAAGGTAAGAAGAGGAAACCATTTCCACATTCATACAGGATCTGCTATCTGGAAGGCCTGGTATACACACAGTTTTTCATCTACGGTTTTGTTTGGTTTTAGGGATTATTCTTTTCCTGAATCTGAGCAATGTCAATGTATAAAGTACCCACACCTACAGCTTTCACTGGACGAGACGTTATCGTAAATCATATTGTTTGTTGTGATACCTTTAACTTCAACAGGTGATGAGTCAGATCAACTCCATGTCAAAGTGCCTTGCAAAACCAGGTAGATATTCTGAAGGGCTTCCTGGCACACCGGGGTCATGGCACAGATATGGGGAATGAAGAAAGATAAGTCTTTGACACCACCTTACCACACCTAGTTTGAGTAAAGCCGGTTAAGTATAAATGTGAGAAGGCTTCCCGTCCAAATCTACATCTGCCTTCTCCTAAGCTCCGTTGCTTTTGTGAAGACAAGATGAAGTTCACAGTGAGTAGATTTTTCCTTTTGAATTTATTACCATATAATTGGAGACTGTTAACTTTCTGAGATAAGGGGGACTGCTTCTTGTGACAATAGCACTGTAACGGAAAACTTTGTTAAAAAAATTCTCTCTTTCCTTTTCATGGAATATGGCATTTATAAGCATCTCTATAGAGAAAGATAATTATACTGGGATTAGACAGCTGTCTGAGCATCTTATACTGTGTTCTCTTTAACAAAATTACTTACTACATCATCTGATTCAGGTCTCTACAGAGGGCAAGCCCTAGAAAGTGCCTGATCTTTCCTCATTCTCGAATTCCTCCTTTTACCAAAATTCCTGAGTATGTTCAGGCAAGATAAAAAGCTCATTATCAAAATGAGTGGGTGGGAGACTTATTGTCACATTCTTTGCTGTGAAATGAATCTCTGTGAAAGAAAGGTTTGCCTTGGGCCCTGTCATGGCTGTTTATTCAGGCAAGAGTCTGAAGCATGAAGTGAGTGCAGTATCTCACCTATGGTTCCAGGCAGAAGCTCCAGAGGGTAGGAGGTGGACCACAAAATCCTGCCAAAGGAAAAGTAGTACCAGGTTTTTTATAACAGGATGCAAAGGGGCTAGAATCAGATGAATATTTTCATGTTTCAACATACTACACACTGGAATATATTACAGCAGACTCTGCTTTATAATGAGATTTCAAATGTAAAATAATTATCTAGAAATAAGTCCTCTTAATAGCAGCAAGATTAAAAAAAATCGGGGGGATCTCCAGATATAAATTAGGAGATCTGATTTCTCTTCTAGTTCTGCGTGAACAAGAGGTACGACCTTGGCCAAGTCGCTTAACCTCTGAAGCTCAGTTTCCTCATCTATAAAAGGATTGCATTGTACTAGTTGTTCTCTAAAATTTTTTCCTCCCCTGACTTTTTAGGAGACTCATTTTTAACACCTTATTAAGCTATTGGGGAAAAAATTAAACAAATGTTAAAATTTACCTTGAACCTCCAGTATAGTTCTCAAACTATTTTGTCGCAGGCAAAAGAAATGAGAATAGTTACCCAGAATGGGACACCCTGCATAAAGCTCTGTGTTCTGATAACCAGTGACATGTGACAAATGACTAAACCATATACTTTATTAAAAGGAAAGCATCCCACATCAAATAGGAAAATTAATTTACATCATTTTCAGATGTGATTTTCACAACTTATAACCACTTTCGTATCATGTTATTCATTCACATTACGCTATTCATTTTAAAGTTTATTCTTCATCAGTTTTTCATAAGACCTAGATTAAAAATTCTAAAACTATATATCACATTAATGTAACTTTTTATAATTAGTCAACAATTCTATTTATCATTAAAACTTCCTGTGGTTAAAAAACATACAAAGCAAAAGAAGAAAACACATTGAACTAGAACACAACGCATCGGTAAAATTATTTAATATCAAATACTTTCTATAAGTTTAAATAGAGGAAAAAAGGAGAGGACATCACTTTGACATATAACAGTAGCCAATGTTATTTGTGATTTCAGATTGTCTTCGCTGGACTTCTTGGAGTCTTCCTGGCTCCTACCCTTGCTGACTATGTAAGTCTCACCTTTTAAAATTTGTTACCAAAATGCATTTGCGAAGAAATGTGGTATTTCATCACTCTTAATTCCTTATAAACTTCAGAATATCAACGTCAACGATGACAACAACGTCGCTGGAAGCGGGCAGCAGTCAGTGAGTGTCAACAATGAACACAACGTGGCCAACATTGACAATAACGATGGATGGAACTCCTGGAATGCCATCTGGGATTACAAAACTGTAGGTAGCCACTATGCCATTTGCATTCCATTCTTCATAAATATGATGTCTTTTTGAATAAAAAAAGTGCAAGTTAACCATAAAAAATTTAAAAAATAGATTCTAACTACACATAAGCATATAGTTATAAGTAAAAGTTCCTGTTTTGCTCGCCCAATTTCACTCCCTGGATATAACTACTGTTAATAAGTGTTGCCAGATTAGTTAAAATTCAAATCAATGAACAGCTATTAGGATCCACTATGTTCAAGAGATTGTGGAGAGGTAAAACAAATATGAACATCCTTTTGCCTCACCTACAAACACCCTCAATCATAATGAAAGACCTGTACAGCATCACAGCTTCCAAAGCATAGTACATTTCATTCTGTCTTCAATTTCCTTCTAAAGAGATAGAAATTGACGTTTCACCTGTAATTCAAAAGGACCAAAGGAAATGTAAATGACAATAGTCATTGGTAAGGGAGAAAAAGAAAAGAAAAGAAAAGAAACACTTGACACTGCTTAGGAGATCTGACTCTGCAATTACCAGCTCCATATTTTTAAATAGCAAAATTTTAAATATCAAACTCTATTGTTTCAGTTTTATCCGATCATTTAGAACACTGATTTCTGTCTTTCCTGCCTCGTTGAAATGTGAGAATGAAAGAAGACTAAAATGTGATAGCTTTTTAAAGTTTGTTTCAGTAAAACACATATATGTAGAGAGGTTCTTATCATGCTAGAACCGGAAGATAAGGCTAATGAGTTAGATACTAAGTCGCTAGCCTCACGGCACTCGCAGTCTGTCCTTGCAAATGTTAGCAATACAAATGATTGCCAGGCGGGACTAGATCCAGTGCTCTTATCCCAGCCCGTCCTGATCTTGGAGTTCCATTTCCCTCTGCTGGTGGAATTGACTTGTGATAAGAAAAGCTCCTTGAAGAACACACACCTCACTATCTATCATCTTCTTTAAAAGGACTTTGCTGCAGTTAGACTCTTTCAGAAGAAGTCATGCATTGTGCACAAAATGAACAAGGACGCCATGCCCTCCATTGAAGTCCTCAATGCGCTGGCCAAACAAAATAAGGTAAAAATAAAAGTCTCAACTATTTTCGGCGAGGGGAGAGGTTTTATGACCTCCAGTAAATAATGAGAAGATCACAGTCATTCCCTGTTGCCCACGATATCTTGTAGTGTGCAGCACAAAGGGAGAAGAGCAACTGGTAATTGCCTGAGGGGAGGCAGCTTCCACCACATCAAATGTAGTGGCTCACACTTATCCCTACAGCAGCTGAGCAGAACACCTGATAACCTTGACTGTTTAGAGGAACAAAGCTCTGATCCCACCAATGGGAGCCGTCAGTGGCTTCTCCACTGACATTTTTCTGTAAGGTTTAGTTAGGGTTATCAGATTTAGCAAATAAGTTTAACCAGTCAAGTTTGACTTTTAGATAAACAATGGATCATTGTTTAGTATAAGCATGTCCTATGCAATATTGGGCATGTATTTATACTAAAAAGTGATTTATTGTTTATCTAAAATTCCAATGTAACTTGGTGTCCTATATTTCATCTGGCCATCCTAGTTGAGATGGGTAGGAAGAGGGGATCTATAGTTCTTTAAAATGTTTGCGTGAGTTCATATTCCTATAACAGATAAATCGGTACCTTTCATTGACAAGGTAGAAAAAATAAATAAACTGCATTCTCAGAAGATGATTATCATATAAGTCAACCCAAGGAATCTACGTTGACAAAATGAGGTCCAAGTTTCAGAGTAAATTTAGCCTCATGGGTCTGTTTTTATGAGAAGCTGAGGTTTCAAACTGGCTAAACCCCTTAGGACACTTAGAAATTCTGAGTTACACAGGGCTTTTCTTCATTTTTATTATGGAAAAATTATAGCCAAGCAACACCTCCTCTTGGACTTGCACTCCCTCAAATCAACAAATCCTTGGGCTTGGCATTCATTCTCTCTCTTTCTTTCTTTCTACCTGTCTTCTCCACACTCAGCTTCAGGGGAAAGGACCAGAGGGAACACCTACCAAGGGCCTGAAGTACTCAGTGAACCCTAATCAAGTCAATGACCTGAAGAAGTTTGGACAAAACATTGCCAGTATGTGCCGGGGGATTCCTACATACTTGGCAGAGGAGACTCAAGGTGAGTAGCCTCCCCACCGTGCACTCCAAGTTCATGCTGGTGGAATTGTCAGACTATTCTCAGGTTATGTCCACGGAGGGCACAAATCACATGGGGGACAGTCACCACGACTAAAACTTGTACAGGGCTTGCTCTGTGCCCGGCAGTGTTCTACCTGCTTTAAGTGTGTCACCTCTTTTATTATAGGTCCGACTGTTATTCCCACTTTATGGATGACAAAGCTGAGGCACAGAGAGAAGTCATAAAACCCTTGCCTGGGTCAATCCCAAGCATTTTGGTTCTGGATTCTGTACTTTGAAACATTATGGAATTATGCTTTTCAAGAGTGAAACTAGAGTAAACTCAAGGCATATTCAAAAGAATACATGAAGGGCTAAATGAAAGAATAATACCCTAGAATCTATTGACTTTCTGTAGCTCAAACAATCACTTGATTTCTAGGCATTTAAAGAATAGCTTACACAAAAACAAAGAGCCCACCTACGAACTAAGCTAACAACAATTTTGCAGATCTCTGAATTGATTGATTTCATCTTGATAGATCCTGAAATTAGTGCGTAGGTAGCTTGGACTTGTGTGACACACTCCCCCAAAAAGAGTACTTAAATCGACATTGATACAGACTTCTTTTCTTTTTATCAGAGGCGAGCCTGTTTTTTGAATCAGGAAAGTGCTTCAAAGCTGATATTCTCTGGATTCTGAACATTTCCTTCTGTGCAGGAGAAGTGGAGAACTAAAAAAATTTTTTAAAGCCACTATGGATTTAGTCATCAGAATATGCTATGGGTAAAAATATGGGTTCTAATGGTTTTATCTTGTCATTCTGAAATTTTTTTCTGTTAGTTTATGTTTGATTTCTTTAAGTTTCAATAAACCCATTTAGCACTGAATTCAGTTGACGTTAACATCTCTTATGATTTCCATTTGGAATGCACAGTATCAAAAGTGCAATGTGGTGGTGGCAAGTTGTTGAAGTGCATTAGACCCAACTATTCGCCTGTATGCAAATCCTGTCTCCCATAAAGAACCCCTTCAGATGCTTCAGATACTACTAACCACAGCCCTGGGAATGGTTCCAAGACCAGCCGAATGCTCTGAAGGCTGCTCTATACTTGGTGTGCACAGTAACATTTCAAATCAGCAAGGAAAGAAATTCACTCAAAGTAGCCTACATCAGAAAGTTGGGAGGGTTATTACAAAAACATAAGAGTATCTAAACAATCAAAGGGCAAGAAAAGCAGTTGAGTATCAAAGAGACTAGAACCAGGAGCCCTGTTGACACCAAAACCACGTCTGCTTCTTTCTCTCCCTGAAGCCACATGTTATGTCTTCTCTCTTCATCTCTGAATTCTATTTCCCTCTTCTTTCCATCTTGCACATGGTTTTTTTCTGTGCTCATGGCAGAGAATGGCCGAACCAAATTTTTAGCCTCATCTCCCATGTTTACACATCTTTCCAGTTTGAGAAGTAATATCTAATATTGAATCTCAATTCCAATTTCCTTAACCGTCTTGGGTTCCAGAGTCCACAACCCCCATTCATTGGTGGCCAGGACAGTGAAGGCACATGGTACCATACAGCACAGGGGTCTCCACTGAAGGAGAAAGCTCTCAGAGAAAATAGACTCCAAATGTTGTATATAACTGCAGCTCATTTTTAAAAGTTGCTCCCATACATCTTTATTAAAATTTTTTAAATGCCTCTTATATATAAGAGGATATATAATCCATTCCTATGTCTTCAGATGAGATATCCCTAAATAATCCTAACAAATAAAACTAAAGACATTGATTCTCACCATTTGGGAAAATGCCAATATTTACCAGTTCTTATGGGAGAAAATTATTATAATTTTCTTCATCCTGATGCAATTTCATTGCTGTTCACATGAAGTGTACTACTAGATTAGTAGAACTTCCAAAATATTCTGAAGCCACGAAAGGTGGAAACCTGTCAAAGACCTATCAATGGTTACAGTCTTAGGTACTACCCTATTGTGAGTGAGAAAGAAAATTGTGACTCATAAATTGTACACAATGTCATGTACCTGAATTTGGGGAACTGGTAAAACTCATGTTTCTTAGAAGAATTGTCAAGCCACTATTTCAGGATAAAAAAATTAAAAGTACTGAGAAGATATAAAAATCCTAGATTATATACATCTATCAAAATACATAAAAGAAAAATTGTAAGACTTGCAAGGATAATATAGCAATTTCACTCTCTTATTAATAGTTGAAGATTTTAACACATATCTTTCCATAACATAGATGAAGCAGTTAAGGATATAAAACATTTTAAACACAATTAACCAGCTTATTTTAATGAGCATATAGAGAACACTGCAGGATACATATTCCTCTTAAGCATGTATGGGACATTTATAAATACTGGTCACTTGCCAAGTCATAAACCAAATCTCAAAACATTTTAAATGATTTGCATTATAAAGAACACATTTTTCTGCCCTCATTTAAGAAAGACAATAAATATTCCCCTTTGAATAAAACAAAATAACTCCATTTGTTTTGAAATTGGGTAGCATACTTCTCAGTAACACAGGAGCTAGAGAAAAATTCTTGATTAAAAGTAGAACCCATTTTGAACTGTGCAATAATGAAAGCATTGTATATAATTCTACATAGCACTGTAAGTAGTAGCCATAGCATTGTGTAGTGGAAAATTGATAGCTTTAAAAATCTTTATTTTATAAAAGAAGAAAGGCTGAAGATTGAGTTAAGCTTTCAATTTTTAAAATGAGAAAAAAGCATAATATATCCAAAATAAGTAGGGGGAAAGAAACAATATTAACAATATCAGAAATTAAGAAAATGGAAAATGAATATATAGAAGTAAGGTTCAACAAAGTCAAAATTTTGTTCTTTGGGAAGGCATGAAATTGACAAACTTTAGGTAAAATTGACTAGAAATTAAAGTAGATAAATCACAAAATAAGCAATACTAGATTCAAGATAATTGAAAACAAATTTCCAAGAGGGTGTGTGTATATGTGTGTGTGTGTGTGTGTGTGTGTGTGTGTGTGTGTGTGTGAAGCTAAATTTAGAATATACATGGAAGATCAAGGGGCCAGTTGGGAGACAATTCTCCATAAATCCTTGATGATTCTACACATCTTGTGAGTAGAGGCACTGACTTCCCTTTGTTTTCAATGATTTTTGCAAAGATTTTTTGCATGGCAAAGAGTTCTGGAAGAAAATTAGTAGTTTTTAGACAGATAATGTCTAAAGTGAGACACTCTCTGTCCTAAAATGAGACACTATCTGTCTTATAAAAGATTAGAGTTCCCTAAGCTCAGATTTATTCTCCATAATGCAACCCGCCATGTGCAAGCATCGATCTGGGTCCACATGCATTACTCCTCTGGGACTTGCAGACAAGGTGCACTGACACAAATATGCTCATGCCCATACTGCTAGCTGTGTCATGAGTAATAAAGTCCATTGTCTCTGATTTAGAAGTCTCACATCCATGAAACTATAGCAGTCTAACTTTTTAGCTTTCTGGTAGGGTAAAATGTCAGACCTTTCTTGAAAGAACCAAAAATAGCTAAATTATTGCTGGAGAACAATGAAGTGGATGAGCTTGACCTATCATAATTATTATAAACACTTAGTAATTAAGACAACGTTATATGAGTTTTGAGATATACAAACACATCAGGGGAACAAAATGGAAAGCCCAGAAATAGATTCATACATCTATAGATGACTGAAATAGCATGTAGGTTGTATTCCAGATTATTAGGGAGAACATGGGCTTTTAAACAAAAGGTGTTAGAACAATAAGGTTGCCAAATGAAATAAAAAGAAACTGAAAAATGAAACAGATCCCTACCTCACACCTTATTAAAAAATCAATTCCAACTATATTAAAAACCTAAATATGAAGGGCAAAAAAAAAGAGTTAGAAGATAATATAAAATACTAACTTCATGACTACTGAGAGAAGGATTTGCTAAACCTCATGTAAAAAAGCCTCAGCCATAAAGTAAAATATTAATAAATTACTTTAAAAATAAGAATGTGTTTATCCAAAGACAACAAAAGCACAGTGAAAAGACAAGCCACAAATTAGTAGAAATATGTACAACACATAAACTGGATAAAGTATTAGTACAAAATTGATATAAAGAACTCTTACATATCAATGAGAAAAAGGCACATAGAAAAATGAACATGTACAGGTTTCTAGCAGAAGAGGAATGCTGAATGGTAAATCTAGGCGTGAAAAGATCTTAACTTCATTAGTAATAATGAAAATGCAAATTGAAACCGTAATGGAAAGATCATTTCATACCGATCCAAGTGGGTGGGTATGAAAAAGTCTAATATCAGTCATTGAAGAGGATGTGCAGTAGCCAGAACATGGCCAAGGCAAGTGTGAATTTATACAACTGCTTTGGGAAACCATTCAGCATTGTCTATAAAGTTGAAGCTGTGAATATCCTATGCCCCAACAATTGCACTGTTAAGTATATATCCTAGAGAAGCTCTAGTACATGGACATCCAGAAACATGAACAAAAATGCTCATAACAACAGTGTTTGGAGCAGCATAAAAATCTGGAAACAATCCAAAAATTTGCCAACAGTATAATAGATAAATATATCATGTTTATTAGTAGGGACATTAAATATCAAAAAAAGAAAGCCAAATTACTCCCAGCCATGCACAACAACATGGATGACTCTCTGGAAAATAATGTCAGGTCCAAAGAGCAAATTGTAGAAGAAAACATATTGTATTTATATAAAGTTCAAAAACATGCAAAACTAAATGACATGTATTTTAGAAATATATACATATGTTGTAAAACAATGACTAAAAGCAAGGTAATGGTAACTCAAAATTGGGTGTGATTATTTACCCCTGAGATGGAGGGGACTCCTGGGGGAACACAGGGAAGACTTCCAAGGTGGCAGTGATGTTCTCTCTCTCTCAGACTAGATTGAGGGGAGGCTGAGTGTTAGAACATTATTCATTACACTTCACTTGTATTTTAAAATGTCTTTGTACTTACTCAATACTTAATCGCAATTTTAAAAAGTTAAAAGCACAATAAGTAAGACCATGTTATGAAGGCAATAAGAAAGGAAACCTTCGTGGATGGAATGAAACTGCTCTTTCATTCCAACATGAGGCAGAGGCCTCGCTCATCTCTGGCTCAGCTCAGTGTTGGGTGGTTCCAAACTTTCAGCCTTTGACCCATATCCCCAGAAGAGTGGTGTAAGTGAAAATGAGTTCATTCAGCACCAGGACGTGAAAGGTCTGCAGAGAGAAGCCACTGTTCCTGGGCTGTGCCAGTGCCAAGCCCTGCTCTCCGCAAGATTCTAAATCATTGCTTGGATGCCTGCTGTGCACAGCTTCCCAGTTGGAGTTTTGTTTGGCTTTGGGGATAACCTGAGTAACTAACACTAGGCCATGGCTTGCCTTGTGCACTTGGCCCATCGTGGTCAGGAGGAGATGCAGAGAGCACACGGAGCTGGCTGGCTTGCAGGGTCATCAGAAGTTTTACTGACTTCATGACCCCAAGAGACACCAAAGAAGAGCAGATAATATCCCATCATGGGCCTGACTCTTGGAAACATTAATAAAAAATATTTTAGATAAGTCCTTGCCCATTATGACAGTATCTTTCTGGTCTCCTCCCAATTATACTTCTGACATAACTAAATAGTTTAAACCAAACCTCCAGTAGTTGGATCCTTCCAGAACATTCAACTAATAAATTTTAATCTATAGTCAATTTTTCCAAAGAGCTTTTAAATTGATGGATACATATAACTGTTAACTGAGTTTTACATTTCCCAAATATTCACAAGTTAGAAATAACCCGTCAAGAATATCAAGAAGTACAACCAAATTAAAGC